GCCAACCCCAGTAAAACCCCACAATTTAGGAATTCTGACAGAGTTTTGCAAAGTATGGTTGAATTAAACGCCCCTGAAGAGCTTCTTCTGTTTTCTCTTGGTGGAGCACTTGCTGCAAACTTCCTTGGGAGGTTTACCCAATAGAGTCAGCTTGTAGGAGGAAATACCATGGGCCCTGAGCTTTTTTTTTTAGTTGAAAGGTTAAAAAATAACCCCTCTCTCCATCCATCCTTAGAATTACACTTCCCAGCACAGTCTAGTTCCCTTTCCTGGTAGATATAATCCTAATTAAAAATAAATTACATGCTGTATAGAACTTGAAATGGAAAAGATAATCCTATTACATATGAGAATATATCCTGATTTTCTTTCCCGCTAAACTGTGAGAGATATCAGATCAGGCTGAGTCCCCCATTGTCGCCGCTTTGAAAACTTTCCTAGAGCCCTAATCCGTCACGTGACGCCCGTGTCACTCTCAGTGTCTGCACGCGAGTTTCACAATGCCGGCATTAGGCTCGGTAACAGAAACCCAGCTTTGCGGAGCCCGCAACATTTGCATTCCGAGAAAACGCCGGCCATTGTGGAGCTGTGTTTGTTCTCAGGATTGGGAAACAGTTGCCGGCGAAGTTGCTGAAACCGAGAGAAAGGGGCTCCTTTGAGCCTGCCCAGGCCTTTGGTATGATAACAAGGCGACTGGAGCGTCTTTTGTGCGGCCGGATCAGCGCCGCGGCGGGCGGGCTCCCCGCCCTTCCCCCACTGCTCTCCAGCCTCGCCTCCCCTGACATTTTTCTCCGCGGGGAGTTGCTGTGGACGCTGATGCGCTATTTTAAAATGCATTTCCATAATCCGGCGGCTGCAGGCGGCCGGCCCGGAGCTCACTCTGCTCGCGTGCCTTCACACCTCTACCGCCGGCTCGGAAAGGCCTCCGCGCCGGCCGCTGCAGCCGCGCCCGCGGTCCTCCTGCCCGTGCCTCCTGGCTCCCAGCTTCCCGGAGCCGCCGCTGTCGTTGCCACTTCCGAGTGGCCGAGGACCTGGCGGCGGGTAAAATGCTCCGGAGCTGCTCCCCCCGCCTCTCGGCTTTTGCCTGCTCCCCGACTCTTCCTTTTTCGGCCTTGAGAATGAGCATGCTGACAGGGCGCGCTTTGAGTCTAAATGTCAGGTAGTTCCGATTCTCCCGCCAAGCAACAAACCCAAACTTAGCGCGCGGCTGGGTGGCCGGGCCCGCTTACAACTGCGAGACGCCGCGCGCAGGGCCGGGTGCGCTGGCCTGGGATCCGGCCCCAGCCACTCGCGGCCGGGCTCTGCTCGCAGGAACAGCTGAAGACACCCTTTCTCTGAGACTCCGGCCACACCGCCTCCGCCCTCCTTTCCCCGCTCCAGGCAGCGGCGCAGCACTGGAGCGACCACCTCTGGTCACGCGAGCGGAAGCGCCGAGGCCGCTGTCCACCAGCCGAGTTCTGAATCTGTTCCCGTCTGAGCCGACCGGGGAAGGGGGTGAGAAGGGAGGACGTGAGCCAGGGAGCGCCAAAGGTCACCAGCAGGCCACAGGCCTGGGTGGAGTTGTTGCAGGCCTCGGAAGAAACACAAAAAGTTCTTTCGGCTGCGTATAACTCCCGAGGGATGACTCTTCGGTGCGGCCGGGGAGAGACCAAGATATTAACTGGCACTTGGTGGAGGGGGGGGGAGCTTACTTACAGCGGCCGGGCTCTGCTCGCAGGAACAGCTGAAGACACCCTTTCTCTGAGACTCCGGCCACACCGCCTCCGCCCTCCTTTCCCCGCTCCAGGCAGCGGCGCAGCACTGGAGCGACCACCTCTGGTCACGCGAGCGGAAGCGCCGAGGCCGCTGTCCACCAGCCGAGTTCTGAATCTGTTCCCGTCTGAGCCGACCGGGGAAGGGGGGGAGAAGGGAGGACGTGAGCCAGGGAGCGCCAAAGGTCACCAGCAGGCCACAGGCCTGGGTGGAGTTGTTGCAGGCCTCGGAAGAAACACAAAAAGTTCTTTCGGCTGCGTATAACTCCCGAGGGATGACTCTTCGGTGCGGCCGGGGAGAGACCAAGATATTAACTGGCACTTGGTGGAGGGGGGGGCGGGGGGGCCTGGAAGAGAAGGCCGGGAAGCGGGCTCTTGTAGGCGACGTGGTGCCCTTCCCACGTCCCCGCGCGGCTGCAGATCCCTGGCCTCGTTGCTTTCAGCATTCCCAGGGCTGCAAGGTGGAGGAGGTGGGGAAGGGACCGAGAGGCACGACCTCTCTGAGAAAGCCCCCCGCTACCCACTGCCCCCCCAAATCTTATGAGAGTTTTTATTTATGGTTGGGGCTTCATTTTCTGCTCTCTGGCAACTCCAAGCACCTCCTTCATTCTCCCCCACCCACTGGCCACCCAGTTCCCTGCTTAGTCTCCCTACCCTGGGAGAACTGCTCCACTTCTGAAAAGACCTCAAAACACACTCCTCTGAGTTTGAGGGAAAGGAAAACAGGACGCTGACAGCAGGACCAAAATCAGAATTCTGAAGAACGCTTATGAATGCAATCTGCTTATCAAACACATCTCCTTTAAAAAAAAAAAATTCTTCCAGCGCGTGACTTTTGTTTTTACCTCTCCTCCTTTGTGTGTATTTATACTGTCTGTTCAATAAAGCCCTTTGGTAAGAATCTGTCTTGTTCCGGATTGGAGCCCCATCTCCCTGGCCTTCAGGGATGGGAGAGGGCCTACCTGTGGGAGCAGTGCAGTGCCTGTCCAGCCCCAGGACCCTCCCAGCCCAGACTGTGGCAATGCCAAACCTCCACACTTTCATAGGCAGATGGTTAAGTTCCCCTAGGTTCATGCCAGGTTCCAACGTCATGCTGAGGTTTTGTTCTCCTGGAACAGGATGAGTGTTGCTTCCCAGAGCGGCCCTATTAGAACAGAAAGAAAATCCTCTAAATAGGCGGAACGAGGCATCAGGAGGGAAAGTTCTCTAAACGCACTTTAATACGAGCCGGTTATTGTGTGGAATTCAGCGCCCATCACCATTTAGCTGGAGAGTTATGGCAGTGATTGGAGATGAATAGAAGAACATAATGGATACATGTGGCGTTTGCTCATTATATTCAAGTTAGCCCAACTCCGCTGTGGAAACTGGTCAACTTTCTCTCCCCTTAGCTTGTCACAGTGAAATAATACAGACATTGGGGCCTCCAATGGGATCGCCTGCCACGCCGTTCTATTTCCACTGTTAACGAGGGCTTCATAAGCCTTTGATACAGTCTGATCTTTGAAACCTTTCCAAATCTCCTCGAGCTTATGCTAAATCCTGTTTGGAACTTTTTTTCCTTGCCTTCTAGCGCCCAGGGCTTAAGAAAGCCATTTGGCCAGTGACATGCATACTAACATATCGCAGGGCTCTTTACTGAAAGGGAAGTGGCAGCTCTGATCACTGGGGCTCACACGAGCAAAACACAATTGCATACACAAATTTGAATAAAATCAATTTTCTTTATCCTTCAGGCTTCTTAATCGAGAAGCTTATTCCCGGCGCCGTAGGAAGCTGGGAGAGAAGGTGAGCAGAGAGTCACTACGCAGAGCAAGTCTGTGAGGTTTTGAAGCCTCGGAGATGCAAAATGCAGTGGGGTGCGGGGGATCCGGAGTCACTGGGGGCACCCCCCACCCCGCAGCATGTTCACACTTAGCTCCAGCGGCCGGCACAGGGGTGGTGCGCACAATTAACAAAACCATCCTCTCTTTTACTCCCGGAGCCCTGTGCCAAATCCTCTGCACGTAGGGTGTTGACAGAAAAGGGGAGGGGGGGCAAAGGGAGCTAAAGAAACAAAGGAAAGATTTCCTAATTTTCCTTTCTTGTTTTCCCCTCTAAGCCTTTCCACTTTAAAGGGATTGTCAGAAGCTGGCGGAGGAGCGGCGCGAGGGTGAGGCTGCCATTGGCTGCCTGGCTCGGGTGATTTGCATATCGGCAACTATAAAGACGAAGGCGGCGCTCCGCGGCGCAGCTCCAGCAAGGAGAAGGGAGGGAAAGGTGCAGAGTGCGGGCGGGTCCGCGCGTCCTCAGAGTCCGCCGGAGCCGCCGAGCTGTAGCCCGCAGACTTCTCCCGCTCAGGGCTTGCAAAGAGCGTGCTCCTGGGAGCCCGGAACTCACGCCCGGATCTGCAAACCGGAGAGGACTCTCTTCCTTAGTCTTTCGGAATAGCACTAGGGTCTGGCGGCATGATCGCTGTGAGGCGCTGGGGCAGACCCTGCCTTTTCCCCTTGCAGCTCTTCAGCCTCTGCTGGGTGCTCTCAGTGGCCCAGAGCAAGACAGTCCGATACAGCACCTTCGAGGAGGATGCCCCCGGTACGGTTATTGGGACCCTGGCTGAAGACCTGCATATGAAAGTGTCCGGAGACACAAGCTTCCGCCTGATGAAGCAGTTCAACAGCTCTCTGCTCCGGGTGCGCGAAGGCGACGGGCAGCTGACCGTCGGGGACGCGGGCCTGGACCGCGAGCGGCTGTGCGGCCAAGCCCCGCAGTGCGTGCTGGCCTTCGACGTGGTCAGCTTCTCGCAGGAGCAGTTCCGGCTGGTGCACGTGGAGGTGGAGGTGAGGGACGTCAACGACCACGCGCCGCGCTTTCCCCGCGCCCAGATCCCGGTGGAGGTGTCCGAGGGTGCGGCCGTGGGCACGCGCATCCCGCTGGAAGTGCCGGTGGACGAGGACGTCGGCGCCAACGGGCTGCAG